AATGATCAACATTTTTTCACATGAAATGGGCATTTAACCACTGAAGGCTTTATTTTCAGATGCATTACTATTTGAACTCACTAGGCATTATTTAATCACCACTTCAAATGGCTCAGTTTTTTGAGCAACTGTTGAACTACTGTTAGAAATGATACTTTTCCTTAATTGCTTTTTTAGTTATTATAGCAATGAATTTAAGAAAACTGACAAGAGCTAAAGAAAGATATGAAAGCAAAACAAAAATTCCTCCACTCAAATCTATACATTTTTCCCTTGGATACATGCAGTGCAGAGGTAAAGTGTTAAAGTAACCCCCCCCCCCATGCTACTTTAAAGACTTACCTTAAATGATGCCTTTTGATCTGATCTTCTTCTTTCCAGTAGTTTTCAGGATTCCTTCCAGCGCTGGTGCCGGTCTCTGATCCAACGCTGACTCCTGTCTCTTCCTGTCTCACGTAGTCTGTGCGGGTGCATGCTGCCGGCTGCCTGCATTAACTTACCCTGCGTCTCTACTCTTCTCCCAGCCGAAGATCTCTACTGCGCATGCGCCCGCCCCATGATTCTTTTGCGGCCGCCCGAGAATCTTCAGATCTTTGGATGGGAGCAGTAGATATATGCAAAGCAGTAGATATATGCAAAAAAAGGGGAGAGATTAATTGTCCTTTAATATTGTTTCCCTTACCTCCAGTAATTTTGAAGTAAATGTCACATTTTACTGGCTGCTGCCTTTCCCATAGTTTTGTTACTGTAATAAATACACGGATTTGTAAATTAGTCACCAGAGGGAGTTCTGTATTCTGTTTTATTTACTCTTCCTTCTTAAGGCCTCATTACATGAGCATGCACATCCATACGGCGTGCACAGCTGTGCAGAGAACTGCTCCAAGAAGGCACAGGTACAGCAGATAATTGTGTGCAGCCGCATATACATCCTTATGACAGGATGCAGCTGCACATGGCTACACGTCGACCCAAACATCACTGCAGGTCTGGGTGCACACACTTGGACGCAGACTTTCTGCAATTACATGCTGCACCTGTCCCTCCCAGGAGCAGGTCTCTGCATGGGCGTGTGCACTGTATGCATGTGCAAGTCCATGTGAATGAGGCCTATAGGAATACACATATCCTATATAGGGCCAACACCCCTCACCAGCATCCCCTCCAAATCTTTAGCTAGCTGTACACTGTTAGAAAACATTAGATTCCTTCACCAACACTAAAAAGCATGGATAGAGGAATCTAGAGCTGCAACAACTAATCGATAACATTCGATAATGAAAATCGTTGGCAACGATTCTCATCATCGATTAGTTGATTTTCGATTAGTTGCCGCTGTTCTCCTCCCAGCTTGTGCTGGCTGCAGCGGTCTGTGTAGGTAGAGGCAGCGGTGACACAGACACAGGGAGGAGAGACCGCTGTGAATACATTCCCCCACTGCCCACCCCCCCCCGTACTTCCACTACTGCCCCAGCCGGTTCCTCCTCTCACCCGGTCCATCCGTTGCTCCTCCGATACCCCGGTCCGGCCGTTGCTCCTCTGCCCAGCCCCCCTGCCTCCTCTACATCTGCGGGCTGGGAGCCATACCCAGCCTACTATTGGATATTTTAACATGCAATAGCAGGCTGGATATTGCACCCACCCACTGCCTGCTGTCAATCAGCATGGGAGGACCTGATGGAGAACTTTCCCTTTCAGGCCGGTATTAATTTTTTTATTTTATCCGATTAATCGAAGTTAATAATCGGCTAACTAATAGATTTATGAAAATAATCGTTAGCTGCAGCCCTAGAGGAATCCCCACTGCTGGCTATTGTATTAAGCAGCAGCTGCTCCCACGGCTGCTGAATACCCCAGCAGTGCCTGCATCTGACTGGATATAAGCACTGTTCAGCCAATAACTTTCCACTCAGCTCCTTCAACATAAGTTGGCTGAAAAACTGACTTTTGTTTAACCAGGTGGTGCTGACAGGGCCACCCTAACTTGAATTTTGGTTAATTCAGCAGTTTTACACTTACCTGTCCTTGCTCCTTAGAGAGCATTAAGGTGTACCTCGTCACTTCTCCAAAAGTCTTAGCCAGGCTCTGCTTCTCCCCTGCAAGTATCTTTTTTATTATTATTTTTTTGGGATAAATCAGTAAAAAGCCAGCACAGTGTTAGAAAATATTGTACCCTACTGTGCCATCTTGGTTTCATTTATCTTCTATGTATTCTCTTCATTTATACACTGAGTGGTCAGATTATTATGACCACCTGATGTTTGTAGGCAAATTAGCTATAATTAGCGATAATTTCGTGCTGAAGTTGCTAGAGGGCCAGACCATTATAAATAGGGAAGCAGATTGTTTACCACGACAGTAGAAGTGATTTTTTTCTGAAGATATGGGTAAACATCGCGATTTAACAGCATTTGAACGTGGGATGATTGTAGGCGCTCGGAGCCATGGAGCGAGTATCAGCAAAACAGCAGAATTCGTTAAATGTTCAGGAGCAGCTGTTGTTAAAGCGTTTAAAGACTGGACTGTAAGCTGAAAATCTGGGTCTGAACGTGCAAATTGTGGCCGTCAGCGACTAGTCAATGTTAGGGCAGAACGGAGAGTGGCAAGACTGGTACAAGACAACAGAAGGGCAACAGTGCAATGTCAGATTCCTCGCATCACCTTTCAACATCTCGTGGAGTCATCTCGTGACCCAACGAAGTACTGATGGGGTGGTCATAATAATCGGGCCACTCAGTGTATACTTGTCCACAAATTCTATTACGTAGTGAATATCAAGGACGATGTTCATTATTTGGTGGCATAAAGATAAATAAGTGTCAACCACCATGAAAAACACGCATATTTTGTGTTGGGTCACTTAAAGACAATGTATTGCTGCAACACACTGACCAATACGTAATGAATGACAGCAAAGTTATTTATGAAGGGAAACACTCTTCATTCATGGAATCTTTAGTGGGACTTAAAAGTACCTCCTGTATCTTTTTATTGCCTTCGCCTACCAAGGAAGGAAGACACATGGAAAGAGGGGAAAGGACTCTCTTGATAGAGCGGAGAGCCAGCATCTAAACCCTATTGGTTCTACACAGATAACTTCATAGAGCACTACATTATACTGTACCAAGTCATGTATTACAGTTGGGTGTTTGGATGTACCTACAGATGCACTTCACATAGCTCTCCCAAGGCTGATGAGACCATTCACAGGAATATGAACACACTTACCTACTTAAAGAAGGTTTTTCATCATGTACTGAGTGAGAGACCTCTTACGTGTATTTAAGAGTTACAAAGCAAACAGAAAACAGGGATTAAATGATTAACATTTTATTTCACCCTTACAAAACAGGAAAAAAATGAATTGGAAACAAGTTAAGGATGAAACTTAACACAATGTAAGTGCTGAATAATATCATTAAGGGGGTATAGATCAGAGGTTCCCAGTATTAGGGTGGCCAAACAAGCATATTACAACCAACAGATGTCTCAGAAGATAGACAGTGAGGCATCTACTTGTCCTAGAACCTGCCCGTGAGATCCTCAGTGTGACTCTGCACATTATGTGTAGTGTACACATGTGCTTAGTACACTTCTTGTAATCTACTAGTTTCAACTAGTTTGAAGATCTCGGTGTGTGATAATGGGCACTTCTGAAGGTGGAAACATGAATTATGCTACTTTGAGGAACATGCGAACAGCCCGATTGTCACTCAATCACTACAGGCAATGCATCATTGGGGCCATTTATGACCAGTCCTAGAAACATGCAGGTCAGTTGAACATTATTCATTCTGTGGTTGGTCCTCTTGATCAATAAAAGGACTTAGAACCATAAAATGTGACCTGTGTACAGCCAGAAAAGCAAACTTGTGATCTATATAATTTGATAAATGGTTCCCAGACAGAACAGCCCCAAAACCTCTGCAGGTGTTTGGGATATGAAGACAGACACATCTTAAGCAATGAGTCTTTCTGCATCCACAAATATACAGATATACCAAACTGTACAAGTCTCCTCATTCTAGCTGACCAGTCAGGTAACACAAGGAGTCAATGGTGTCAGATTACCAGGCTAACCGGTGGGAATGGCCAAACCGACCATCCATTCTTTTAAAGGGGAACTGAGGGGTAAAAGGTGGACAGGTGTACTTGTCATTTAGATTGGAGGTGAGAACCACCACAGTAAAAAAAATAACCAGTTTAAGCTTGCAGCCTTTCCCACAATGCACAGTCTTTTTGACCTACACTGCAAAATCTCCTTATATATCAACACTGTGTTCTTTAATGGAAAAAAAAAAAAAATCACAATTTCAAAGTGCAACGAAAAACCAACCACCAAGTCCAGCGCATGTAAGCAACTTCTATAACAAGTTTACAAGTAATCTGAGCTATGTGCATTTAAAACGGAACTGTAGCAGTCCATAGTGGAGCTATCCCTGCACTGCCATTTCTGATGAAGGGGTATGCCTCTATTTCCTGGACTGAGACAGCCCAATAATGACTTCAGCAGCACAGGATTTTTTCTGTGGCTGGCAGTTTGAGAGATCTTGACCACCACATTGCATAATCCATCATAACAAACCCATTCCCAACATACAACAGATGCAGGGAACAGAACCACAAGACCACAGTTCCGCTTTAGATATCTCAACAAAAATCTGATCAAGTAATAAAAATGCAAAAAGCAGCCACGTTTGAGTTTTCCTGGTTTAGTGGAATAAGAACTGTGGAAAAAAATTTCGCAACTGGTTGTTGCACGTTGCCTTATTAAATGAGCCAAACAATTCAGTGTAATGGGGCCCCCAATGACAACAGCGAAAGCAGCACTGTGAACAGAATAAGGTGCAAATTCCTGGATAAACGTATACCATCAAAGAAACTAAAGGTTTTAATTGATTGCCACAGTGGAGAAAACACCATTCTCGACTGCGGGTAGAATGTTAAATAATTAAAACATGTATTATGTAAAAAAATAAAATCAAGCATTTCACAAAGTGGAACAAAGCCATCATCAAAGTGAAGGCCGCAAAACAACTGTTCTTGCAGTCCCTGTACCCTTCTGAAAAGTTGCACATGGCAAGTAGCTATCGACAGTGTTTAAAGAGTTCTGGGTCCCCTAGGGTTCTCGCTGTGACTTTAAGGCCAATGTGACGTCTGTATGCTGGCAGCTGCTATTAGGTTTGTGGCTGGTTTCCACATGTATTACCCTTCTGCAGACACGCTACAAACAAGTCCATATCTTCTTCCATCTGTGATAGCTGTGAGGATTTATTAAGAGCATTGCATGATCCAAAATGCTGGAAAATTAAGCAGTGTTTGAGAAATACATTATTTGGACTTCTTTGCTTCTTGTATCTTGCCTTTAACCCTGTAATTGTTGTACTGAGAGTCTGTGTTGAAGAGTTTGTCCCACCATGTGAATGTTGATGCGTAGTTACCAACAAAATTCATGTGATGAAAGTCATGGAAACGGGCTCCGGCGTAAAATGGGACCAGGTGTAATGGATTCAGAGGAATGTCATAACCACTGAAAAAGAGAAGGACGTATTATATGAAATGCAATTAACAGAACAGATTCATGTCAAGTCAGACAGTTCATGACATTACACATTTAGTACAAGTTTGGCAAATGGCAATCTACAAACACATACTTCTAGATAAAGGCTTTATATTCTTTGCACATACCGTTTCTCTTTTCTTCCCAGTCCTCTGACAGTGGCCATGTTTACTAAGGGCGACTTACTAGATCTCCCTTTACTTCCTGGAACTCTGGCACTTGTGACTAGGACATGTGACCATTCACATCATTTCAGGGGAGGAAAATGTCTTTCCCTGAGATCTCAGGAAATTTCCCAGCAATGCTCTGCTGATGTAACCTTCCCAGGATGCAACACTTCGGCACATTACATCACTTGTGCTAGAACTGGACTAGGAAGTAGATGAATTCTATTTGTGTGTAAATGAAAAACAAGTTTGTTTAACTAATGAATGTAAGATGATTTTACATCAGCATGCAGAGCTGCATACTGCTGTGATTTTTAGTAATAGGGGGATAATGTGGCTGGTTATTCTATCTCTAAAGATACATATGCACTGTAAGAAGAAATAAAGGCCGGTACTCATATGTATCATCTGCTGCCTCCACATGTCTCAGCATGGTGGTATCTAAAGGAGACCTAAAGGCTAACACACAATAGTTATTATATACACAAAATGGAAAATATTTTGTTTGAAAGTGTTCTTATTTTTTAACCAGGTAAATCCAAGTGTGTGCTTATGAATATGTCATATTTACATATACAGCCTGCAAATGGAATTCCTGGTTTTTTGAATGAGTTGTCTGGGTTTCCTTTAGCTGATTTGCTGTAAAAAGCCTGTTCACAGAGTTAAAGTTTTGGAGCTTAGCTTTACAAGCCAGTGAAATAACCCATCAACCCATCCTCCTCCCTGTTCAGAGGGGGCCATATCAAGTGAAAGAATCAGAAAGGAGTTTTATGATTGAATAGGGATCAACAGAGGCACTGTTTCAGAGGCATCAATAGAAGGAGATAAGGCTAAAGAAAGCTGGATATACTGTAGATGGAAGGTGGTGAGCTAAATGGAAAATACTGGAAGGCCAGATTGAGCAATTATTCATTCTAGATGAACAGGTTCCAATGGAAAAGGTGATTAAAGGGATGGGAGTTGTAAGGCAGGTTTGCCAAGTCTTTCCTAATATTGTCTGCGTCATGTGTGTAATCTGTTAGCCATTATATAATTTTATTAAAAGCCATAATAAGTCTTAGTTTGTGGGGGATTTAGAGTGGCCTGCAGTGTGGTCTTTGGTTGGCCTAAGCAGTCAGAAGCTGCCACCATCCACTCAGTTTTGCTCCAAGCAGAAATGTGGTAGGATTTGGAATAGGAGCTAATGGAACTTCAATTAAGTACTGCTGAATCTGTTTCATTTTATGAAATACACAAAATACTGAAAAAGCCTATCTTCAGGCAAACCAAAAACCTCCACTTGCAGTGGGGCTACTCCTACACTGCAAGGGTTAAATGCTCATTATGCCTAGGGAATTCCCTAAAGCAGAGTAGCTTATCCTGATCCCTGTTCCCCTAGTGGTCAGCGCTCACCTCTTTCCCCTCTCCTCTGACTCGTGGACTGTCCCAAGGAGGCCTCACATCTAATGCAGGACTGGAGTAAAGCACTTTTACTTACCTGATTCTTATTCCCGTTGGCTCCAAGACTGGCGCCAGCACCCTCTTCCCACCTCCGCTCTGACAGTCGGAGGCCCACTGACGTCATCACGTCTAATGCACGGCCCATAGACCTTCATTAGATGAGAGGACTATATGGGACAGTCCACAAGTTGGAGCAGAGGGGGAAGAGGTGACTGCCAACCGCCAGGGGAGAAGTGATCAGGTAAGTAAATCAGTTTTAAGGAATCCCCTAGACATAAATGAACAGTTAACCCTTACAGTGCAGAGGTAGCCCCTCTGCAAGGAAGGGGGAAATGCTTTCCCAGAGACTTTAAATCAGAACTATAGAAAAGCAACAAGCTATAGGTAAACTATACTGAAAACTACATGTTTAATATTGTTTGTTATTTAGCCTTGCGATGTGAGTTGCTAAAGACAAATGAGGGGAATTTATCCAAACTGGAGCAAACAAAATCTGGAGCAACTGTGCATGGCAACCAATCAGCGTCTCTCTTTTATTTTCAAACTTTAACAGAACAGACTGAATAAAGAAGCTGATATAAAAATATACTTTCAGAGCTATCACATTGCATTCTGAGTGTATTAAAATGTATCTATCCAACTAAAGAGTAAAAGAGAGAATATGAATGATTCTAGAGCTGCCTTGGCGGGTCCAATGACAGAAACTCAAACTTACACACAATCTCATGAAAGCTTGTTATCTAATATTAAGGACTATAGCACAGTTACAGTGAAATCAGTTAGCACAGGCAGCAAACAAAATGATTATTAAAGACATTAACTCTGCTTACCTGTGAACATCTATTGTTTCCAGAAGTCTGAATGTAACCCAGGCCCACAGAAGACTGACGTGATTACAGAAAACCATGATTCCAATGAAGAATCCAGTTCCTAATATCAGAGTTTCCAGAGGATGTGCATACTCAGCCTGCATCCCAAATGGAGACTGCAAGACACATACAGCACGTTATAACCAGGTACCTTCAATCCATCATTATCAGACTTTATTTACAGAGACAATATTATTTATAAAACAGAATTTCAGTTGTAGTTACAAGAAGAATTACCGCAAACTCATGGTGCACTTTGTGGATGTACTTGTAGATACTCTTGTGGTGCAGCAGCCGATGGAGGAAATAGTGCCAGGTATCTTCAATGACGGCACAACCAAAACACTGGGCCAGTAACACGTACCTGTAATCACAAAGACAGAGATGATGCACAGACAAACACAGAGTTTACTTTCCTGTCAATACTCCTTCATGTAACCACTAAACATAAGAGAACAAAAATACTACTTGTAAAAGCTGCAGATGTGAATGAAAACACACAAATGTATTCTGCTTAAAGGGATTTCAGATAAGGATGTGTTTTGTAGATGAGTAATTTCCTGTGCACACCTCCACACAATACCTGCAACTCAGCGCAGAAGACAGTACAGGGAAGTTATTGTAGACTGTACGCAGCTCAGTAACAAAATACTGTATGTACAGATAGAAATGAGTACTGGACTGACTGCAGCAATGTTACCAATAGCGCTGGGTGGACAAACTGATATGAAATCCAGGAGCCAGCAGGATTTTTGAGGAGTCAACAACTAGAGAAAACCTTAAAAGTGCCAGCTGTTATTTTTATGGAGCACTGGCGACCTGGCTCCTGGGATTTGTCCAGCCCTACAATTGTTATATATCTTTTACTTTCCCTATGGTGTGGGAATTGTCAGGCTGGATTTGCAGTGTGTTGTCTTTCTTGTATTATTTTCTTCTTTTTGCTGAATGGGTTGTTGCATGACAGGAGTGCAGCCAAACATCACTGGTGCTAACTATTCATTTAGCTATTTCCAGGCACTTTCTAATTGAACATGATAATCTTCCATCAACAATTTTAATTGCATTGCAATTCCGATTGCACCCCTGCTGTTGGTTGCCTTGATCTATTTGTGCAGTAATGCGCTGGTTAAAAGTAATGCAATGTTATCTCACTATCACCAGAAATTGCATTTTTAAGCATTTCTATTGATAGATATCCTCCTCAATATAGATCAGTTATCATGCATGTCTTATTATCAGTTAGAATCCTTATAGCATGCAATTGGCGTACTCCCAATATCCCGTCCATTACAGAAACTCTTCCTAAAGTCTCCTCTAATTGTCACTATAAACGACCTATTGCATATAGGTTAAACAGAATCTAGTCCATAAAAGATGGGACTCATGGATCCACTTTTCTAAACCTGATACTTAAGTTACGATTGCAGTTTGACCTCAATTTATACTTTCTTTTGATTTTGTTATATATTGTGCCTTTCAGTATAAGCTGATCAATCCATAGCTCCTTACTTGTTCTCTTCCTTTTCTTTACCCTTTCTTCCTGTTTCACTCTCTTTCACTCCTCTCCTTGCTTTTCCCTCCCTATTCCTATAGTCTCTTCTTACATACTCCACCTACTGCACCTTTCCATTCCCAAGATTCTCTATCATCTTTTCATTACTGTCTCAGAATTAGTTCTAATGACTTACACAAGGTTGTACTTGTACCCAGTGATCCTCAAGCATTTTGAATCCTATTATAATTTACTGTTACACTATATATATATATATATATATGTCTGCTCTGATTGACATTACTGAATGTATCTATGTCTCGCTGAGCTTGAAAATGCTTCGTCCAATGTTGGATAATAATGGTGCTGTATGTGTTTTATATTTCATATACTTTCATAAAAATCTAAAAATCTTTCTTTTTCCTTCTTCCTCCATCTGCCTTTCCTTTTCTCTTCTAATCTAATTCTTCCCTTTTGTTTCTCTTCTTCTTGTTCTCCACCAGGGCTTGTTGCTAATGCCTATCCTTGTGCAACAACAGGCTATTTCATTTGCTCATTAATTAATCATGATTCCAACAGCCTTATGTTCCTTGAGATTACGACATTCAGTCATTTTCTGTATGCCTTGTATTTTACTGTTTGTATTCTGTTCCCTTTTCTTTGATTGTTTCAATAAAAACATATTTTGTAAAAAAAAGTCATGCAATTTTCATGTGTATGGCCAACATGAAGCTTCAGACTAGCTGCAGACCAAGACATTGCATTGGGAGCAGCTGAAAAGGGGGTGGCAAGATGACCTTATCAGTCTGCTGCTGCTCTTTCACAGTCAAATCAGCAGCATTACAGTGGTGTCATGTAATAGAGAAAGTGGCAGGGCTTTATAAATCTTAAAACTGGATGGACAAGACTACAAATTACTTTGGCAGGTAAAACAGCTCCCTTACAACACTACTATCATTGCTTCTGATATTCTGGTTTAATACTTTGCTGGTCAGCAACAAGCACGCAGCACGTAAAAATCAGAACACCCAATGAACATGCTTGCTAGGGTCAGTGAGTAAAAAAAGCACTGAAGCCAGAGGGTAGGTATGACAGCCCGTGTGCTAGCAGTTTTGGGAAAGATCATCAATGGCAGTCCTCCATAGTATGTTCATGTTAGGTTTCCTTTGAACGGTCTCTTACCATCGAGGCATGGTATTCCAGTCATAAGGAATGAGGAAGAACTCAGTAAAGTAGTATGTGCCGCAGATCAGAGGAAGCTGGATGCAGAAATGATTGAACAGGAGCATTTTAAAGCATCTCCACTGGCCTTCCCATGTCTCCGGTCTGTCCTATAATGAATGAGATATGGAGACAGTCAGAACATGAGATGCTGATAATAAGTCAGTACAACAGAAGCTGGAAAAAAGCTACAAATCAAATAAAAATAGCCTGGTAAAGTCACGACTTTATGCTAAGATTTTTCCTCAATGGTTAGTCACCACATTTGAACTTTTGAATAGACCTGGGTCTAGACCAAGCTATTTGAAGGTCTAGGACTTGAAGTATTGAGTCAAGGGGCTTTCCAGTTATGGGATGACAGCACTAAGTTACAGTCTGGATTGACAAAGAAGACATTGGATTTTTGTTAATTGCCACCAATCAGTTTATATTACTAATTTAGAGCTGATAATCGTAGGGATAGATGGACTGTTATAGACAACACAGACGATTCTTCTATTAAACACAAGGCCACAAAATCACACAGTGGAAAAGTTCCCATAATCCAGAGAATCGTTTCTAAATCCTGTCTAAACTATCAGAAATGCTCCAGATAATCCTAAAATGCAATTAATCTTGCAGTCACCCTCATGAAAACCCCTTTGGAAATAATTGTTGCTATTACACAATTTAATAGTGAAGGAATGCTCAGTAATATCAATATGGAGTTCCAGTATCTAAAGTACAGATACATGTTATGTAAATCTTATGTAAGAGCCGGAAAGTTACAACGGTACAATGCATTATACAATAAAACAACCGGCTGTAAAGATAAAGTTACAATGAGCACTTAATGCACAAGCAGTGCAAAGTGAAATGATCTGCATGCCATTCAAAATATAGTCACATGTCACCTTTTAGAAGCTTATGGTAGCCATGGAAGATAACCAGCTATTGGTTACACAACGTCAGTATACTCCTGCACCAGGATATTAGCAATGGTCGAGGAATATAACATTATGTGATGTGCTTAGACCTGTTCTACTAAAATATCACTGTGAGGACTCCAAATTTTAATTTGGGTCAGGGCTTGACAAATGGATATAGAATTCAGGAACCAGCCTGTCCAATCCAGGAGCCATTCCAGGATTTTTTTAGGAGCCAGTGAATCCCCATAGACTACCCCTAACGTCTGCAGTGCTGGAGTACAGCCTTAGTCAAGTCTATGGGAACTCACTGCGCAGGTGTCCTTTAGGTGTTAGGGTGCACATTCAATTTAAGGGTTAAGGGTAAGTGTTGGGATCAGGTAAAGTGTCAAGGGTTCAATTTAAGGGTTGAAGGTGAATGTTCATTTTGAGGGGCTAGAGGCTCTGTGTTAGGGTTTAGGAAGGGGAGAGTTTGGTGTTAGGGTTTTAGGGGCGATGTTTTCTTGTTTTCAGTGCTGAAAGGCCCATACCAAAAACTACATTGCCAGGTTTCCGGCAGTGAAAATGAACTTGCCGCAGGATCTGATATCTGGATCTGTATAACCCACTATCTAAAAAATTCGGAAATATAAAATTACACAAAATAGTCATTTGTTTGAGAAATGTTAATATAAAAGCAGTATACAAAGCCAGAGGGCACTGCAGAGAACGTTTTTAAACAATAGCGCTGCTTAAAACTTTTATTAACCCTTGCAGTGTGACTATTCCCGCACTGCAAGGGTTAATAAACGTTCTGCCCAGAGTTCTTCTTTAAATACTCAATATACTTTAGATGCTTCATATGATCAGTGCTGGCCCAGATGTGCTAGATTACTGATCCCTTACCTGCATTACAAAACATCACCAACCCCCCCATATTCTGGGCAGGTGAGCTTTAAAGAGGAAAACAATGTGCAAAGATGGACGCACCTGCTGGATTTTAAACCTCTGCATGAAAGGTAGGAACTGAAAGAGAAAGCCGGGCAGGCAGAACAAGAAATAGATGGCTTCATGGACAATGAGGGATCCCCATGTGGCAATCTGGAACTTGGTGTAGTTGTCTAGCATGTAGGTCCAGGCATATTTAAAGGGTAGTTGTAGAGGATTGTCTGGCAGGAGAGAGTCAATGTATTCAACAGCAAGGTAAGCTGAACTGAGGACACTGTCGTTGGAAGCCATTGAAGAGTCTGACAGACTGACAGAATGATGTGATTTTCAGGGGACCCTGCAAGAAATATGTACATATTGTCAATCATATACTTCTTAGAAGTACAGCAACATCTGGGGTAGGCCTTGTCCAAACACATTACATGAGAGAAAATAATAATAATAATAATACAAAATATAATAATAATAATCATCATCATAATAAATAATACAATAGTACAAAATATAATAATAATTATTATTATTGATAATAAATATAACATTACAAT